TGTCGACTACCCCCAACCACCATCTAATCTCAACATCGTGCACGCAGTGTCGAGTCACCTAGACTGGTGGCCACACTACGACTTGGTCGATAGCATTCGATCTGCACTGATAAGGACTTGACACACATGACATTGATCACTACCCGGTGATCAATCAATTGTGAAATCATTCTATTCTTCAAATTACAGACACTTGGATTTTCGATAGTCGTTGACTAAGTATGAGTGGATATCAATTTCATTACTTCTCAGCAAAGGAAATTAATCAACAAAATCAATGCGTTAAAAAAGTTGAATTTTGTTTTAAACAAGAACTCAAACACTTCTACAGTTATCTTTTTGAAAATAAAAAATCTAACAGAGATTGTTATAACGAAAGTCTTCAGCAGTTGTTCCGTCAATACATATTGTGTAAAAGTAAAATCTACGTTACGGTCTACTAGAATTCAAAACTTTTAAGTTGAAATCAATTAACGAGGAACTTTTGAATTTGGCTTTTTACTCCATGAAATTCAATATCAGTTAAGTTATAAAAACCCGTGAACGATTTTCATGCATTTCACATCACATCATGATTAACTAACTCAATCACGACTGAATATCAAGTGCTTAGACTATGTCGAGGTCACTACTCGAGGATCCATGCCACCTTATTTAAATAATTAACCAAAACACACTAACCTGAAGTTCGTATTTGACCATTATTACTGATAGTTTATTTTTTGTTTAAAGCCCCACTTAATAGGAAGGAGGAAACAACTAGAATCGCTTCTCTCAAAGTAAGCCGTTCATGGTTTGTGAGGTTCATTTCATTCTTTTGAGGTGTTAGAAAATGTTAGGTTGTCTGATGTGTCTTCACTGTTTACATAATTTTCACCAGCAGCAACCTTATAAAAATTTGTTGACTCGCCTATCTAATACCCTTAAAAAAGGAATTAGTAAAATTTTTTCCCGGTTTTACGCTACTGAGTTCGTGACAGTACTTTTCCTGAATTATTTTTATTTGTACGAATGTTTACTACTGAAATATGTACATTGTGAGCCATCAGATTTTATGGTAGCTCTGTGTATTTATTTTATCAAAAGCGTTTAATAATGTTGTTGAATAGCATATCGAATTTAAACAATTTTATTGGATCTTTTATTTCATAACAAGTCATGGATATCTGATCTAAGCAAGACTTGTTTATATTATCAAATCACGTTATACCAACAACAGATTACTTTTAATCTTCGTGTTTAAAAAAGTAATGTATGCATTAAAAAGTTTTATTCCAAATTATAACAATCGATTCAAAGCAATTATTATCGTCATCACTTTATCGATTATATTCATCGGTTTTTGGGTAATGAAAGGCAACAGTAAAAGCAGTGTCGGACAGCATATTTCATTTCATTTGACACTGAAGAACTCGAATAAAACTGATGTTTTTTATTCAGACTTCAAAGAGTTCAGGAAGTAAATAATAATTAATTTCTTCCAAAGTGATGTTATTAGTGGACAATTTTTGATAGACAAAATATAAGTTAGTTTAGTTTATTCACTTCTTGGTTAATCAGTGACATTTAGTTGAAATAAAGTTATTGATCCGAAAATTTTAGTTTATTGGCTTTAGTTTTCTTCTCATCTACTGTTCATCATTTCCATATTTTTACAGAACGTTATTATTTCTAAATCAATGAAACTTGCCTCATTAAACAAGGTAGTGGTCATATGGACTTAGTATCTAGGTGAATAACAGGAAGGCGTTCGAAGCGAACAGTACTAAGTTCGAGTCCTGGAGAAGACGTCAACTCCCAGATGCAAGTGCATCCATCTGACGAGTCCAGAATGGGATGAAACGCGAGTTTTAGATTTCACTGCAAGACACTATCAATCTTTGCTTATAACGCTTGTGAGTTAAGGCAATATCAAGGCTATCCTCACAGAATGCACATATGCCAACAACAGACTAACTAATTACAATCCTAAACATCAATAGGAAGATCCAAACAAATGATCCAAAAATGAATCGATATGTTTCTTTTGTTACAAATGATTTGAGTGTAAATTATTATTTAAGTATATCGTTCACAACTTACCGTATGTTTGTAAATTTAGTTTAAGTTTTCTATCATTTTTAATAAATTCCTGTCGAACGTATTATAAAGCAAAACTCACAGAAATCTACTTCTCTAACACTACTACAAATTTAATAGATTAAAAATGAAAATAACGTAGTTATATTTGAATCACTGAAAATGGAAATCAAGTGTCATATATAACAGCCTACAGCACATTATTACAATTTGCAGTAGAACCACTGACTGATAACAACTGAAGAACCACTAAAAAATAATCGGATAACTTTTGTATTTCACACTAGAACGTCTTAGAGTAATCTGCAAAAAGTAGAGACTAACAGCTTCCATTATTCGTCAAAACTATCTTACAGCCAAGTTAATTGCTTTAAATTATTTAACTCAAAAATATATTGTTTGTACACTCCTAACTATTTGTAACAAACACTATGTATTAATGAACTTTCAGGAATAACATATTACCCATAGTTTTGGGTGCTTGAATTAAAGAACATTCCAAAATTTCACCATCTCATTCTTTCATTCACGTGGATCAGTTTGAAAATTCACGAGAATTTTCCAAATATTTGATGTATCTTGATAATAACAATACTGTATACAATCAATACTTTTCTTAGCATGATACGGGTTATGTAAAAGTGTGGTTAGCAAAGCCGGAGTGCGAACTATTTATCCCTGCAAATGCCCTTCATTATTTGAAACCAATGATTTATTAAAATTTTATATTCTGGTGGAAGAATGGATGCAGCAACAGGGAACTGAAACGGAAGTGCTTTTTCAAAGATATAAAATATGGACACTTGCAACGATGTGAGTTTTAATTTATTTGGATGGTACGAGGGAGTAAAAATACTAACAAGTGAATGAAATGAGACAAGAAAATATCTCTTCTTATTTATTTTGGGATTATTCAACAGTTCAAGTCTCCATTGAATGTCAAAACCACTGAAACATCATTTTGAAATGGTAAACAAGAGGAATACCAGCAAAATATTACACAGAAGGATAACCATTGTTCAAACGGTAGACAAATAAATTGCTGTTAATATATTAAGTGACTTCATAAATCTCTTAGACATAACTCTCATTTATAAATTTACCGAATGAAGACACTGACACACTGCAGACACATATTTGAACATTTTTGGCACTGATTTTAAGAGCGTCAGACAATATTGTTCAAACTACTATCAACATAAAGTATAGAAATTAGTTGTTGTTTCATTCTATGCTCTAAGATTATTAAAATTCTATCAGGCTAAAAGTAATCCATTTCTGATGTTAAATAATATCAAAATGATTAAAATTTTATGACTGTTAATCAGTTTATAGAACAACAAAAAGAACCGACTGTTATGCAAACTTCACTTGATCTGAAGTCGAAGATAATTTATTCGTTTTGAAACATAACGAGACCATTATAACTACAAAATGAGCAAAACTAATATTTAATATAAATTAGATGCTCTACATTAATATACAGGTTTCATAAGTGAATATGAAATTAATACAAATTAAATGATTCTGAATAAATTAACGGTATCAATTTGAGTTTATTGCTATTCAAAACGCTAATTATGAGTTAATGATAAGACAAGTGGAAAAACAATCTGTAAGTTAGTGAAAACGTCTTTTCGACATTCCCTTTCTCTATTTTACCATGAGAGAATCTTTAAATATGGGAAAAATGGGATAGTTTGTGATTGATAACTTTTAAAGCTACTTATCAATTTGGTGACTAGCGTTGATTAAATGGTTGAGAATAGGGTTTCTCATTAACCTTTTCAGTCCATTTCCCACAGATGAGGGTTAACGCCCAGAAATGTGGATTCTTTTAATCAAACGCTTATTGTAAGTAGTTTAAAGGAAATTGGACACGGCTGAAAATAATGATCACAAAACCTATAAATCTATTTCGGTTTCAATACTGAAAGATGAAAAAGCATTCTTTGTAAAGCTTTTCTTGAAAGTCGTGTTAGTACTTAAATACCTGTCTAACCTTTGAAAGTCAGTTTAAAGAACAAATGTTTTCAACTACTACAAGGCACGTCATTTTTGATTGGTATGCGTAATAGCCTAACTAAAGAAAACCAAATAACTCTGAAATTCCTTTCAAATATGCAAATGTTCCAGCACTGCTAACTCACTCCTCGTCAAATGATCTTTATTAAACAACCAAAGGCCAAGAAAAAGAAAATATATTCACCAATGCAAACTGATCGGAAATCAAATAGCAAGCGAGCAAATAATTATCTAACATTCAAATAAACACATAGCTTACATGGCCATTGATAAAAATATTAAACATACATTAGACAAAAGCAAAGCCACATTAATTATCATCAGAAGCTTGAAGGAAGTCAATCTCCATTCAGTAGATCATGGGTAATTTATGTTTTCAACTCGAAACTAAAGTCAAAACAGCGAAAAATATTTCATTCGTATTGCACAGAAATGCAGTAAAAATAATCTCGCACCAGTCAACAAGTAAAAAATGTGAAGGGAAACATATTCAACATAAATAAATTATTGAAACCATTTCATGTTTGCAATAGCACGGGATATGAGGATTTGAAAATCATCGGCAGAGTGAATAGCATCTAAGTTCATCAATACAGTATTACAAATAGTTAAAAAATATTTTCAAGAAGATAATTAAAAATAATTTAGTTCGTGAAAAGAAATCAACCAGACAATCAGTCAAATTCAATTTCATGCGATTGTAAATTATTCACAGATAATTACGTTGATAGTCGAAATATTAAAATAAAATGACCCAAATATATGTTTACAGGCAGATATAGCGATCGCATTGGTGATAAGTGATGATCTGCCTTATCAAATAGTCAAATATTCTAGGTAAATAAATTGGATAAAAAACTGCAACGAGGGTATATTAACAACAGCAAGCGTCTGTATTATCTATGACTGAATCTGAGCATACCTGCCTTCCAATCGATTATGCGTTTACTTATATAGTGTGGTACGTTGATTGCACCTGACTCTATATTGGATCTCCCACTTGCGAGAGAAATGATGTCAAGGTTTTGAGGAATAATATTCAGTTTGTTGAAGAGTATACCCAAGTAAGCATCGTCAATACGAATATGCTGCGTAAATGCACTGGCAATTGCTAGTCGTTTGACGATATTCGAGCCCAAAATATAGGTAGCCCCATAAAAGTATGGAGGATATCTTGCCCATGGGAACTCCTTAAACATTACTGCCCAAATGTTACTTATATTGCCATCATGTCTGGGTCTGACAACAATGGAAAATTCGTGTCGAAGCCCGCCAGTCAAGTCTCTCAAACAATCTATTGTGTGATTTCTATAAAACTTGATCACATTCCATGGAACCAAATCATAATCATTATCTACAAAGAGGAATAACGGCACTGAATTGGGGCAAAGTGCTGACAACCAACGAAATGTAAATATGAGTTTTGTGGTCAGATTAAAATAGGTATCGTGAAAAGAACCAATCAAAATGTCTTCGTGAAAATCTGCTTCCATTGCAAGTCGTTTAATAAATGTCCATCTATCTCTGTCATGCTTTCTCGATAACCTCCACCAAGAATTTCTGAGTTGAAATTTGTAATTATCAAATGTGAACACGTTTGATTCATTTGGATAAGGTATACCCACAACAAAGACGAATTGGACAGTGATATTCGACCACAAGTGCTTCTGCATAAATGTATTCCGTGCATGATCACGTTCATCCGAACAGTAGCTACAGGATTTGATTACAACAATTAAGTCAGGAACACGTTCTCTCGCACATGGGTTGCAAATGCTTTTTGGCAGTCGTAATGCTAATATGTCCGGATTGTTTATTGGCAACTGAAAATAGAAAAAAACGCATTATGATCACTGAACAAAGAGATGTAACCAAAAGATTCATAGTATTTTCCACCGATAAATAGTAATTTTCTCATATCTTTCTCATATTGTTCGTTCTTGTTCTGCATACAGAAAAGTAATAATGTAAATCGACGTGTTAAGTTTGTTATGACCTGGACATGGAACGAAAGTACGGTGAAACCATCTTCCAGCTATACCAATTAATTACTCACAGAATGTACGACTAGAATGCTATCAATCCACTAACGAGTTGTACTCAGCAACAACGCATATGTGAAATATATCTCGCGATAGTATCAAGGAAGTTGTGCAATAGGCATTGCATGGAATAAAGTAGACAAAGTTTCGACCTTGCCTGACTACGGCATTTCTGTATGAAGATGACGGCGACTTACTAGATCCCAGGAAATTTTTTTGGCAAATGCCAGGGTGATTCTGTCCCCAGTGAAATAAATCACTCCTTACTCAAATTCCGTCAAAATGAGTGAGTGCAAATATTAGAAATCAAGTATATATTTTGATGCCAGGATGTAAAGTAACCTATCTATAAATTACCAAAATAACTTACTGTGGTCGATGGAAAACCCTTTTCAAAATTGTATATCACTTTGTCAAAATCTAATGTTTGAGGAAATAAATTGTATCTGGATGACCATAGACCCGGGGATCTCATTATGTTGTCCTCAATTCTTGTGATAAGTTGTAGATATTTTCGATAGTATGGGCTGTCGAAAGGATTCTCAGCATTCTTAGCAACTGGAACACGTAAAGCAAGATTAATTATTGGCAACTCATTATCAAACAATCCAGTTACAGAAGACGGTGGCCAGTTTGACGTTAGATCAGTGTGGTTCTGTCTGTGTTGTCTGTTCGGTTTGTTTATATTTTCGATGCATTTAAGCCATGAACTTCTTGACTGCGTACATTGTCTAAAGTAGACATTTTTGCAAACCGAGTCAAACAGTGAGTAGTCATTAAGCGAAGTGTTACTATCAAATGACCACATGAAAATTATGCCGGCCGTCCACAACCATACAATGGGGATCAGCACACTCCAAATTAATAACATTTCCGAAATGGATGACAATGAGAAATAATTTATTTCTTAATCATAATAGAACCGGCCTTTGATAGATATCCTGGATTTTCGAGAGATCGTTTATATGAAAACTCTTGTCGGTTAGCATCCGATATTCCTGGTTAACGTGAATTACAATATAGTATTGTCGTTTTATCTAACAGAAAAGTGTATAAGCACTAAATTTTGTGCAATGCTTTGTACATTCTACAAATTGATTTTAAATGAGTTTCACCATAGTATAATAATCTAATGATAATCAAATTACTATGCTAACAATCTTTCTTTAACATATAAAAAGACACTAAGAAAGTGAATTGTTTACTTCGCAAATATATTAAATAAATAAATTTCATAGCATAAATTGCTGGAAACACATATGCAAACTGATAGAATAAGAAATGCTTTAAAAAATTACACAAATCAATCAATTTCTTGTTAATCATATTGCAAGTGTTCATAAACCTACAATCAGTATGTATAAAGTGGACGGTATTAAATCTAACCATCACAGTAAAAGCAAAAACTGTTCTGATGATCAAAATAAAATATAACCTTCACGTGATTAATGATCAAATGCAACAATTAAAAATCATAAGAGATTTCATTGTCAATCAATATCTATATCGATAATGACTAGACAAGATTTATTTTTCGGTATTGATTCATCCAACGAAAACTCGTTCATATTAGTCAGTGTCCTGTTTAATCGACTCAACACAATTCCTAAAAACGAGTCATCTATACGAATGCTTTGTGTGAATGCCATAGCCACAGAAGCATTACTGACAATATCTGAACCCAATAAATAACCTATTCCATAGAAGTAAGGTGGATAGTAATCCCACGGGTATTCATTCACTGAAACCGACCATTTCAAATCAAACTTCTCCTTTGATGGTCTTGCCACTACACTCGTAAAATGCACCAAACCTCCAACGGTCGATCTCGAAACAGAAGCATTCAGACGCCTGACAAGTCGAATCATGTTCTCAGGCAGTAGTGCATAATCGTCATCAACGAACAGATACAATGGTGTTTGTCCCTTACAAAATGTAGCAGTCCATCGATATGACAATATCATCTTGGACGTCAAGTTGAAATACGTATCATGAAATGAACCGACCAACATGTCATTGAATTTTCCACTCTCGTCATTCAGCTTCTTAGCAGCAATCCATCGTGAGCTCTCGTAAAGTTTGGAGAGTCCAAAAGCGTTCCGACCAAGGTTCACAGTGACTCCATCGAAATGATACATATCCGTTTCATTTGGGGTCGGAAGTCCAACAACGAAAACAAATCGAATTCGGAAATCTCTCCACAGGTGTGATTTCATGTAGGTGTCTCGAGCGTACGATCGCTTGTCGAAGCAATAAATACACGACTTCACTATTACTATGAGATCCAGACTTTCTGGTGGTTTGGTGGGACTGCAAGCACTCGTTGGTAGTTGTAAAACAATGATCGGTCCTCCATTAACCGGCATCTGGAATAGAGAATGAAAGAAACCACGGAAACATCACATTGGTGAACTGGTAGATGACAATCAATATCTACATGATATATATATCAACGGAAAGTGCTCTAAAATACAATGCTGTTGTTTGCGTAAATATTTCACCACGACAATTGAGTTTAGTCTAGGTTTTTGAAGTTGGATGCTACATTTACAGCATGTATATTCAGCATATTATTAGTACTCATTGGAAAACAAGCAGAATGAATTTATACTATATTCTATGGAAATCGTATGACTCTCTTCGAATGAGATGTACATCATTTACCTTTTAATTTCTGACAGACGTCTATTGTCTCAATAGTTGTATAAACCTGACGTTTATGCTTTCTGGTGTACCTCACCGGAAACCATCTACTACATATCTGATTGTATTAATTTGCAAAACTTACCTACCATTTATTTAATAAAACTTCTGTTATTCTTTACATTTCATGTTTAATTTACTCTCCATAAATTGTTTCGTAGTCTAAAAGAGTGTAATGTGATACGTTTGACACTCCAGTAACTTTTCGGACAACTTCACATATCCAAATTCCGGAATATTCCATTTCAATAGACTGACAGATGCTATTCCTCCATGGAGGAGATAAATGGATGATGGATCTGTTGTTTGTGATGGAAATGTTGACCATCATGTCACTCCACATTTGTTTGAGAAGTGCTATCTAGTCATGAATTTCGAGATAGGAAAAGAATTAGATTAATCAACGTAGATGGATACCTCAACAGATCCATCGATTGAAAGTTGACGTGCAATGGCCACACAACCAAAATCCTCAGAAACGTTCTAACTGAAACAGCTATCTGATTAGCTTGGTTGATAAATACCTGATATCCACATGAAACAAGCAATCCAGAACTTCTATTCACAAAACGCAACTTTACGTGCATCTGCGACTAAAGGATGGTTGGACAATGAAATGACCTTTAAAACATCTGTTTGGAGTGACTAGAAGAACAAATTATGTGAACATAAACCTTGACTGAGGTGGTTTTTGGAGGTAGACAACAGTAGAAGGTGGGCACGTAATCTAGAGGGAACTGATGCTCCATGACCACACTGCAATTCGATCGATGGAAATCGAAATGTATTAAGAAGCACCTGACATACATGACATTGGTCACTACCCGGTGATCAATATGAGCAAAAGCGTTCATCTATCAGTTCACTGACAAAATGAAAATAATGAGTGATCACCCCTCACATTGGCTCAAATATCAAAGGATATTTACCTTCTTATTTGATTTATGCAATGCTCTTCCATGAAACAATGAACTGATGATGATAACGTATAAATTTATCAAATCGATGGGAAGCGTGTAAATTGAGATGAACTTGTAGTGACCTACTTTTGTCAACAGAACGCGATTGGTTCAATGAAAACAATTATTATTATAACCAATTGTACCAGTGACTGTTTTACTGTGCTCGTTTGTTTAACTGTGCTAATGACAGCCATTACACTTACTCTCCCGTTGACTTTGAACTTGTACGAATTCGGTTACGCTCAGCAACCACGCTTGTACTCCTTTGGCCCGATCTCGGTATTCTTTCGATAGCACGAGATCGCCAACAAATACATCTCGACTACAGCCATCATCTGCCTTCTGATATTGACCTACGGGGATCTTATTGGTTAATTGGCACGTAGTCTTGTAGCGGTGTTGATAGTCAAGCTCAACTCGACACCACGCTACAAAATAATAAGCTAGTCAGCATCGCTCAAAAAACTTACCGCGTCATTAGATAATCCTACTTCAATAGCATGAAGTGCTTCTTTCACATTGAAATACTTCGGATGATGCACATTGCGCTTTCTCATTTTCACACTTGACTTCACATCAGACATTGGAATTACATCACTACTATCCGACAAAACATAACGATCATTCAAAATATCATTCATATGATTCTCACTATTTATTGTAAATGGAATTTGTATATCAAGAAGTCCGTAGTTTAACGGCGTGTGAAACAGACGAACTGATGGATGGAATCCAGACAATTTTACATAATTTGTCATTCTTAAATCATTCAATTGATCAACACATTGAAGCCACTTTTGTTCCGACTTCGTACATATGTTCAACATGTTCATGTGAAACAAAACATCACTGCTGAAAAATTCCTCTTCCACTGAATTGTTGGTTGTGTAATTATGATACAGAAAAATTGATAGTATTTGAAAGAACAACACAGTCAATATGAAAACTGCAGTCCATTTCTTAGAAAAATATATTTCACAAAGTATATATCTTGTAATAATCATCAGAAATTAATCCGATATGAATGTTGTTAACATCTATTTTCTAATTATTATACACCATTTTTAGTTATCACCTCCGCCTAAAGCCCCTCTGGGCTACTGCCAGTTTCAAGCTCGGATAAAGGGTAAGGGTTGGATATGGGGTTAGTGATCCCATCCCGTAGAAAACTAACTCGCTAAAAAAATGCTAGCTAGAAAAAATTATTCAAACCACTTAAACTCTGCCCTGGGAGTCAGAAGGTCTTCAATTAGAAGAGTTATGACGCCTAACGGTGAAAGCCGAGTTCCTTCTGAAGTCACGAGGCTGACGCCCCTTCTGACAACCAGAACAACCATTAATTTAGGTAAATTGAATGCTCGTACAATGTGGGAGAACGGGAGAGTCTTCCAAATTGCTTCAGAAATAACAACTGAACACGAGCAGAAAAAGTCAAGTCACAAGCTGAATACACAGAGGTAATCCAGCATTTGAAGAGGAGCATCAGAACTGAAAAACGTAATTATGTGGAAGGTTTAGCTGTGACGGCGAAAATGGCTGAGAGAGAGGGAAACATGAGACTATTGTATGACACAACAAAGAAGCTCGCTGGAAATTATCGTAAACCAGAACGACCAGCGAAAAGCAAGGAAGGCAAGGTAATCACCAACATCGACGAACAACGAAACAGGTGGGTGGAGCACTTCAAAGAACTTATGAATAGACCAGCTCCACTGAACCCACCCAAAATCGAAGCAGCACCCACGGACCTCCCAATCGATGTTGGCCCATCAACAATTGAATAGATCATCATGGCCATCAGACAAATCAAGAGTGACAAAGCAGCAGGACCGGACAACATTCCAGAAGAGGCACTGAAATCAAACGTAGCGGTGACTGCAAAGATACTTCGCATTTTCTTCAGCAAGATTTGGAAGGAAGAACAAGTACCAACAGACTGAAAAAAAGGAAACCTGATCAAGATACCAAAGAAAAGCAATAACTAAAGAGGCAACATTACGGATCATTGTGGAACAATCAATTGAATGGAATTAAACACTCTTCATCAACTTCAATGACTACGAGAAAGCATTTGATAGCTCAGATATGAAAGACACATAGGAGATTCTTCAACACTACGGCGTGCCTCAGAAGATAGTCAATATCATACGAAATTCCTATGATGATCAAACTGCAAAGTTGTGCATGGAGGACAGTTGGCAGACTC